CCTTGACAGAAGGCAAATTAAGACGACCGTGATAAGCATTTTCACTATCTTCTGATGAGGTATATTGTCTATTCAAACCTATAGTCATATTTGCTTGGTGTAATTTGGTTTTCTGTAGATTTGAGAAAAATAATCACGTCCCTTGTAGAACATAATTTGGTGCCCGATGTTTGAACCCTGAAAACAAACAATTCTCATGTAAGAGAACTAAACCATCCAACTACACCATTGAAATAATGAAAAGAAAAACCCACAAGAATCAACTGCTTATTTACTACAAGTCACTTAGCTACACGGATAACATTTGTACACTGACATCCATAAAGATGATTATGTCAAACTGCATGTACTGTAGATAATTTTAACATTATTTCGAGCTTTAGAGTGACAGACGGACTTAATATGCAACACTCTTGTACCTCCAGGGTCTCTTGTCCAGCAAATGAAGTGGTCAGGATTTCTTTTGTACTGGATGAACTGTGTCATGACATAATGACCAAGATCAAGCTCTTGAAATCTTTCCAAATTCAAACCTTGCTCAAAGTGCAAGAAAATGCAATCAGGCATTCTGTGGAGGAAAAGAAAGGACTCTAAATTAAATCTCAAAAGTACTGACATGCTTGATATTTAAACAAAGTGAAACCTCCAGCATGGAGTGTTCTTGAGACTTGAAAAGTGTCTCCATTAGAAAAGGTGTCTGCTAAAGAAGGATAAAGATACATCCTGAGTGTCTGCATAGAAGTGTCTTCCAATAGGAGGTGTTCCTCAGGAGAGGTTCAAAAATATCTTAAAAACTCTAACCTCACATGACAAAAGACCTATCTTGAATCTACATTTCACGATCAGTCTAAACTGTAAACAATCTTCATAAGCACCAAACATCATAGCATCAGGATAACATTGATAGAACAGAACACACCTGTCAAATAAAAGTCTACTTCTCTGCTCAGGAACTCCACATTTATAGCATGGTCGTGTAAATACAAGATTCTGCAGACTGAAGTCTTCTGTCACATTTGGAAAAGTTGCCAAGTGCTTTTTCCTCCTTAAGAGTAAATGATAGACTTAAGTCAGATCAATATACATGTGGTACAAAATAGTATGAAGTCTGAAGATTATGCAGTGTTGTCAAGAGATGTTAAAAGTGGACTGAGAGACATTAAAATTTCCATTTTTCACCCCTATAGGTGTGACTTCTAAATTTTAGTAGCTGCCATCCTTACGTTGGGTAAGTTCTTCTCTCTTCTCTCTACTGGAAAGCTAACTTGATTAAAAACCAGAATCTCTAAAAAATTATAACATAAAATGTATGAGGCAGAAAGGAGGATGTTTAAAACAATACTCACAAATAACTCACACAAAACTGGATAAGCCAAGAAAACTAGGTTTTGACCTTACTTGTTAATTTGATGATACCCACAGGTAGTACAGTTAAATTCCCACTGATAAACTTGAAGCATTTTTTCTGATAATACGCTATTTTCCCGTAACAGAAGAGGCAATGCCATTACTGGGCTGTCATTCACTCCACGTTCACACTTCATCTTGGGCTTTAAATAGTTCCACACCTTCTCTCTCACATCATATAAATCCTTCTCTGCCTGTTCTCTGTTTCTTGTTAATAACTCTTGTGCCTTGTTGAAGGATTTGGTCAATGTCCTTAACACTGAGTCCACATTTGGGGGAAGTATTTTAACATAAGTGTTCAAGGTTGCATTGTTGACAACTAGAGACAGCAGAGAATGAAGCCAACAAAGTGAATCAACATTCTGCCATTGCAGCAAATGCTCAGGACATGTGGACTCTGGAGAAACATTTTCAGGTTCCTGAAATGTCAAGAAGCATCATTTTTAAAAAAAAAAAAATATGAACATCAGATGAAGGGCAAGAATTCAAGCACCTTGAGAACCCATTGTATCTTAACACAAGCAACATCATGTCACTCGTGCTTTAGAGTGAATATCGCTGATACATGTAGTTGAGCTTGTGTTTCTGTTTGTTTGAGCTCAAGCTTGTATTTGCAACAACCTCATCATGCTGGTTACCATATCATGCCATTTGCTTTGGTTCTAGATTAGTAATGCACCTCAATGAACAAAACCCCCAAATAATGATTCTTTTGTATTCTTTTCCTTGTAAGTTTGATAATGTGGCAATATTGCAAAACAAATTTTGACCACACTCCCTCTTTGTAATTAAAGTTGCAAAATGAAAAAAAAAAGAAGACTACACTGCACTCTTCATGTGGTTTTTGCTAAAACAATCTTCATGAGGAGGAAAAAAATAAAGGCACTTTCCAACCTGAACAATGGTTTCAAACTAATAGCCTCAGAAAAAATTTGCTGGTTACCAAGGAAATTAACAACATGACCATCTGGTTAATAACTTCAAAACCTATACACTTTGACAAGTGCTGGAAACTTCAAAACCGAGAAAGCTTGCTCTCAGATTTGGGCAGAAACAGCTTTTCCTAGTTCCACAAAGCCTAACCTCTCAAAATCATTAGACTGCACAAAAGAAAACAAGGCATTTGTCGCAGAGAATGTAAAGTGGTAAACTGTTGGAGTCTGGCTCCACAATTTGACAAGATATTTTCAGCTGTTTCAAATCTCCTGAATTTACTGAATTCTACACGCAACTCAAAGTTTCACCATAAACAAGGCAGAGTCAAACTGAGATTACAACTTACCTCTGTTTCTCTTGGTTTTGACTTTTTCTTCCTTCTTCTCTTCAAGTTTAAGAACGAGTTGACCTCCGAAGCTTTGCGACTCACGATTAAGTTGGCATTGTCCGTAACTCCAAGAGGATACACGCACTGCAAAAAAGCAAAAAAGCAAAAAGCACAACTCAGCCACCAAATTTTGCTACAGATACTTTGTAAAATACAACGGAAATAAATAAAAAGCAAAAAGATACAGCACAGACCTCCTTGTTTTCACACAACAAAATCGCTTCTTCCAAATTCAACTGGAATAGAACAAGCTGTCTTTTCAGGCCATTCGCCTGGCAAAGCCCGCAGAACTTTTCTGTCATCTGTTTGCTCGGTGGCTAATACAGCCGTGGCCGTCCAAAACTTGCTTACAACCTACAGTTTAGCAGATCTTTACACGTTTGAAAGCCATGCTTTTCCGAGATCAAGAGCACATGTAAAAACACCGCCATCAAAACGTTCGGTGTCGTTCTGAGGTTGGTACTCATGACATTACAGTAATAACCGCTGACAAATGAATTAGCGGAAAATATGTTAATTAGAGCCCATAATGCAACTCGGCTCCTGTCCATCTTGCCATGCTCCCCCTCTCTCTAGATCTCTCTCAAAAAGTCAAACCAAGCTATAATAGATTCTCTCAGCGACGGCATTATCCCGACATTTTATCAGGAGACCCCACGTTTATAAATGTATTATTTTTGTTTTATTTTCATAAAAAAAAAGAAAACAAAAATAACAGTCATAATAGCAAGCTTGCCTTACGGTGTGCTAAGTCGGTTAGATATCAGTGATGTCACCTATTGTTTAATGTTATTAGAACAGTATGGCCTGTTCCAGGCTCTCGGTAGTTAGGGACTGTAGAAAAGCGCAAAAAGAGGCGAAGGAGAGCAAAAACGAGAGGAGACTGAGGCGAGGAAGGGAGAGGAAGGAGAAAGCATGAACACACGTGTTTGTGCCCTGGGATTCCTCCCCCGGGGGGTGGTGAACTCTGTGGAAGTGATCATTAGTATGTGTGTCGAATGGGAAATTGTAAATTTCGTTGCGAAACTCACATTGATGATGCGATGGATCGTGGAAGTTTCGCACGCAATCGAGTTCACATTCAGTGAGCGGCCGTCTTTGAGAGAAAGTCTGCGGGCATATCACAGACAAAACTCAATGGGTGTTCTCCTTATTATGCCAAACCGACCGGTCAGATCGAGATCAGTGGGAATACCCGAGGAAAATGGAACGACTTTTCCCGATTAAACTGGGCCAACCAAGAGGAATGGCTCTTACCATCTCCATTTGACTTCCAAATGAAATTTCCGGAATCTTTGGCATAATGGAAAGCACCCCATAGTAACTTAACGTTGTTTGACCAAGATGACATTTAAGTCTATGCCTCTGATAGCTTTTTTTCGAAGCGAACCACATAAGGATCAGGCTATGCTTTGCCTCTTTTCACTCTCGGTGTGAACCGGCCCTTTATGTGCTGATAGAATTCGGGATCTCACTCCATTTAATATTTTAATTAAAACTAATAATATCCTTGTTCAACCACATTTTGATTATTGCAATGTGGGCCTTTCTGAAAAAC